TTCCTGGAACTCACTTTGGAGACCAGGCTGGCCTCGAACTCACAGAGATCCACCTGGCTCTGCCTCCTGAGTGCTGGGATTAAAGGCGTGTGCCACCACCGCTGCCCAGCCACGTGACTATTTTTCTTTCCTACTTTTTTCATGACAGAAATATTCAAACATGCACAAAAAAAAAAAAAAAAAAAAACTAGAGGGATAGTTTCAATAAACCCCTCTGCGCTTATCTCACTTTCATTTCCTGTGGCTGTGATAAAATAATTTAAACGAGAAGGATGTATTTAGCTGGCAGTTCCAGGTTACAGTCCATCACTGCAGGGAAGTCAAGGCAGGAGCTAGGCGCATCCACAGCCAGGAGCAGAGAGAGCAGTGTGTCAGTGCAAGCCTGCTAGTCCTCTGAGGGCTCGCTCTGTTCTTACACAGCCCGGGATCCCTGCCAAGAGAAGAGTGACACTCACAATGAGCAGGCCTTCCCATCATAGACACGCCCACAGGCCCAGCACATCCAGACACCCCCTCATGGAGATGAAGTGTCAAGCTGACAATACTGACCGTGAGTCAGTGCTCATCAGCCAGCTTCCAACATCATTACCAGTAACCAGTCCTGTTTCATCTACTTCCAGGTACCACATCATGTTACTTCAAAACTAAAAAAACTCATACTATTTTTTATTATAACTCTGCTACTGTTTGAACATTTTGGTTCTCATGGAAACTGATGTGTTGCATTTATTTTCTTTTTATGTGTACGGATGTGTTTGTCTGTCTGCAAGAATGTCTATGCATCATGTGCATGTAGTATCTGTAGAAGCCAGAAGAGGGCGTCAGATCCCCTGGCACGGTTACAGATGATTGTGAGCTGCTGTGTGCGTGTGTGCGTGCGTGTGATGGGAATTGAACCCAGGTCCTCTGAAAGAGCAGCCAGTTCTTTCAACCACTGAGCCGTCTCTCCAGCTCCTCATACTGAAATTTGGTCCCCCTGTGGTGGTGGTGGGAAATGGGGCTGTTTTTTTATTTGTTTTTTGTTTTGTTTTGTTTTCCCCCGAGACAGAATTACAAGTCTCCACCACCAGGCCCAAGTACCATTCTTTTCTTTAAAAAAAAAAAAAAAAAAAAAATCCTAATAATTCTATTTCTTTTCAATGATCATTGGGAAAAAGAGAATAGAAATAAGACATAAAATGGTTTATGTTCATCACAACACCTCTGAGTAATATACATTATTAGGGAGCTGGTGAGATGGGTCAGCGGTTAAGACCACTTGCTACCATTGCAGAGGACCCTGGTTTGGTTCCCAGCACCCACACGGCAACTCACAACCATCTGTAATTCCAAAGGATCCCATGCCATCTTCTGGTCTCCACGAGCACCAGACATGAAAGCATTTCAAAGACATACAAGCAGGCAAAGCACACAAACACATAAAATAAAAATAAAAAAACATTTTATTTCCTTATTATGGGCTGTAGAGATGGCTCAGTGGTTAAGAGCACTTGCTACTCTTGCAGAGGACTGAGTTTGGTTCCCAGCACCACATCTGATAGTTTACAACTGCCTGTAACTCTAGTTTCAAGGAATCGGACACCCTCTTCTGGCCTCCACAGACATCCACACACACGGTGCACATATATACAAGCAGGCTAACATAGATAAACACACACATACACACACACTTAAAATACATCTTTTTAAAAAAATCTTTATTGGACTAATTGGCATGGATCTCTTTTTCAGAAATACTCTCAATGTTAAATATAAGATCTGTGACATGTAGCTATGTATGTTTTTCAAAGAACATTTCCTATTTTGGATTGTAGAAAATATAATCTCACTGCAACTTGATATGTCATGTTTTGTTGATATTCATAGGAGGCCTGCCCTTTCCTAAACAGAAATGGAGGAGGAGATTGGGGTGGGGGTGGGAACAGAGGGGAGTTGTGGGAGAGAGACAGGGAGGAGAAGAGAGGGGAAACTGCAGGCCAAATATCAAGGAATCAGATTTATAACAAAGAAAATATAATCCCAATAAATGATAGCACTGAGAGTCTAGGTAAGCTTGCTCTGTGTTAGGGCTCCTAGTGCTGTGATGAAGAACCATGACCACAGCAATGTGGGGAGAAAAGGATTCATTTCAGCTGACATGTCCCATCACAGTTCACATTATAGAGGAAAGTCAAGGAGCGAACAAACTCAAGGCAGGAACGGAAGCAGAAGCTTTTGAGAGTCGCTGCCTTCTGGATTGCTGGCCACAGCTTGCTCAACTTGCTTTCCCATACCATCAGGACCACTGGCCCCGGGTGGCCCCACCCACAATGGGCTGGGCCTCCCACTGGCCCGGGGTGGCCCCACCCACAATGGGCTGGGCCTCCCACATCAATATTAATCAAGAAAATGGCCCACAGGCTCTTTCACAGGCCAATCCTATGGAGGCATTTTCTCAATTAAGATTTTTTTCCTACCCAGATGACCCTAACTTGTGTCAAGTTGATAAAACACTATCCATCAAAATATATATAATGTATATATTAAAAATGAATATTTATAAAGTCTTACAATAATAACAACTAATGCCTTTCATTTGCAACTTGATTTTTTAACTTCATAGTTATAACATTAAGATATAAAAAGCGTTGCCTATCTGTGCTTCGAAAACAGGGGTTTTGTTTTTGAAGTTTTTATCTTTTCCAATTTAAACAGAAAACAAGCAAAACACCATCAAAAAAAAAAAGCAGTCATTTTAAAACAGAGCTGCCGGTTCCTGCTTCGCCTGCATAAAGCCATCAGATTAGGCTCTGTGTCTTTAAAATTATATTAAATTATATTAAAAGCCATGTCTTTAAAAGTACAGTTTTAAGATTAAGAGTGGTTAAGTCTATTAAAAATCAATAGTCTAAGGCCCACCAAATCTTTGCTAATTTTTTGAAACTATGCTTATGTGTGGCTATGTGTGTGGCTTGCATGTGGGTATGTGTGTGTACATACTGCTTGCATGTGGTTATGTATGTGTATATACTGCTTGCATGTGGTTATGTGTGTGTACATACTGCTTGCATGTGGTTATGTGTGTGTACATACTGCTTG